GAGAAGACAGAAATGTTATATACTCTAATCAAGCGTTGATAACTCATGGCGGTCCATAAAATTAGAGATACAAAGTGCGTATAGGTTCAAGTTTTTATATCTTGACATATATATCTTTACATTGATTCATCCTTTATAACGTTTCTCTGTAATAATAAATTTTCATTTAAAGATTTTAAATAAATAAAATTAAACAATAGTTTGCTAAACTTTATAAAATTTAAATGAGTTTTGTCAATGAAGAAAATTTTTATAAAGAATCAGACAAACCTCTATAGAAAATCAAATAAATAAAGACAATTTTTATTCGATCATGTAACAAACTTAACATTCACCCTTATTCACAATCTGAGCAATGCCAGGCTATCTAATAGCAATTTTTCTACCAAAATTATTTATAATTAGAAAATTCTAAATAAATATCAGTGATACATTAGAAAATGAAAGCTAACAGATTGGAAAGTTGGCAATGACAATATTCTCGTTCGTTTCAACAGCCGTTGGACGTGTCTCGAAATTGGCTTGGCTGTCGGTCGAAGACAGAACTCGATTTAAAATAGCACTTACTAAGAAACGGTAAAAAACTGCCTGGATGGTAGAGTGCCGGCTTATTCAAAGGAGATGTTAAATTTGGTATCAGGAGTTCATGATCGGAATCGACTGAGATCAGCAAAGCACGGAAATATTGTCCGTCCTCCGTTCAAAGCATCTCGTTTTGGTGCAAGAAAGTTTTCAGTTGCAGCAGCCAGGACCTGGAACTCATTACCGGATTTAAAAGTCAACTTTTACACCAGTCGTGAGCTTTCTAGATACGACTTAAAACATCTTTTTTTTTTAAAAATGAAGCACAATTAGCGTTTATGAGGATAGCCAATAAGAGGCGCTCTACAAATCTACAATGCAATGCAATATATTACAGTTGTCAGTGATACATTAGGAAATGATGATGATGATTTTGAATATAACTGAAAAATAATAACATATATTAATAATATCATAAAATATTTTTTTTGAAGTTCATCCAGAGGATTTTGGCTGCAATGTCACGTTTTAGATTTGTTATTCAAATTTAATTTGTAAAACATTTTGTTTCAATCAAATATTTTAATGATATTAAAATTCGTTTGTAACATCTGTCCAAACTCAAAATGTTTTTACTCGTCTGCGTGTGGCACCATCGCTACGTCACAAATTTATTCACAATTTTTATTTATGCCTTCTCATTCTCAGCGCGTTTTTGTAAATGTTTGTGTGTGTGCGTGTGTGAGTGTGTGTGTGTGCGTGTGTGAGTGTGTGTTAAACAAATTGAAACAGGTGGTAGAAACGTTGTGAACTGAATAATTAAAAATTTCTAATTTGAATTTTCAATAAATTCAAATTTCCTGACAGAGGCAACAGCAACAACTAAACACACAGCGCATGTGAGTACACGCAAACCAATATGCATCACACACTGCTGGTGATAGGTAGGTGGAGATCTCTTCTTAATCCAATCCGGTAACTGCAATATCAGTGCCAGCCACTTTACCCTTACACCATCGTGCTGCCCATTACTATTGTATTATTGTTGTATAAAGAGTGTTTATTTACAAAATTTTAAATTTTAAACTTTTGAAGGCTTGCCGTTGAAATTATATACATTTAACCACTACAATTAAACCAAAACGAATCATACATTAGAATGGATTATGTTAATATCTAAAAAATATTTTTGGAATTTGAAGTAGAATTAAAATTAGAGATAAATAAATAACCGAGATAATCATTCTTGAAGTTTCAAACACACGGTGGATATGAAATTACGATTAATTACGTTAATAATTAAAAACACTAATTAAATTAATACAAATAGTTCTGTTACCAATAAAAACGTCATAGAAAAACAAAAAATAACACGGTGTAACACAAAATATCACAGAATAAAACTCAAACGAAACTCAAAAATTCAAGCTCACCCACGTATAAAAATCTTTTTCAACTCAGGCTCGTCGATATAAGTCAAATATCACGTATTCAACTTAAAATGCATTTGCATTTATTGAACTACGAAAAGTTTTACCTAAAACATTTAAAAAATTTAAAACAAATTCACCGACGTTGTTCACGCATATACAATCCTTCCCACATTCATTCAACACATCTACACGTCCATACATACAACGCATCTATTTAATCAGAACATCGACGTGGCAACACTTTGAAAAAGAAGGTTCGCCAGACAAGTGTCAGTTTCCAAGTGTAACCTGGTGAAATAACCGTATCGACTAGAAGTCTCCAAACTCTACAGGTTAGAAAAAATTATTTTCTCGATAGCAATTACTGTAGAAGTTCGTTGGGCGGGTAGCCCGATTAAGCTACTTTGACCTTTTAAGAATATAAAATGTTTTTTAACTTATAGTTATTCCAGAGCAGATATTATGTTCGTAGAAAATTTTTAAAAAAATTCATTCAACATGTTACAAATTCATAATTTAATTTAATCCCTTCATTTAGATCACGTTTTTGGGAATAAATTTTTAACGTAACTTAACATTTTTCCTAGACACATACAGAGCATTCGATCGCTGCACGGCACAATGGACGATTCACCCTCTATGAAACACGGCCTAGTTTATCATAAATGCGCTTTCGTGACAAATTTTAAAATTTGCTGCGACCCATTAAATAACCATCAAGTAGCACTCGACAGATAACACTTTATTTACGCTGCCAAATGTGTGTGTTCAATTAACTGAAATAAATGAGGCTTACAAAATAGAAATTGACTCCGATTTGATGTTTTGTGGTGGAAAAATTAATACTTTTATCAGATTATTTTTAATTCATCATCGAAATTTATTTAATATTTTTATATTTTGAACATTTTGTTAAGAAAAATTTCATTGTAAATTGTTTTAGTGATAAACTATTTAACTCAATCCAATATTTTCGGTATAACCATTTATAACTTAATTCAAAACAATTCAATCAAATTAGACAAGAGAAATGAAATTGATTGCCTTGCTAACCATAGTATCACTTAAATGTAAGATTTCTTGTTTTTAATTGGAGCTGAATACTTTTTTTCAAATTCGTTAATCAATTGCTGAATAACCGCCAACACACACAACCCACAAACGCACAGGTACCTGAGCCACTGATTTGCGCTAGTTATTTCTTAGACGTCCAGTTTGTAGATGGACTTTATGATTTTAATGACCCCTGTTTTGTTAGCCCTCCTACTACATTGTGCAGCTTTGAACACCAAGGCACTTGCCATTCTTTTTTGTTTGTAAACAGGACAAGTTAGCATGAATATCTTTTTTGTATTTTACAAAAATTAACAGAGTCGGTGTTTTGTATAATTTTAATAATCATCAATTTAGCAAAATTGCTTGAATTCTGGAGATTGTGCGGCGATAAAGGAAGAACAAATAATTCAGTATCGTTCCGCGACGGTACAATATAATGTGTTTATTTGGAGAGAGATAAAAGTAACTGTGGTAAACCAGATAAAATGTTCACTATTGGTGAATACGTAACAGAAGAGGACAGAAGCTTTTATGAAGAAAATATCGTAAAAAATTGGAATAGTTCTAGCTGCGTTGATATATCTGTCAGTGATGATAAAAATGATGGTGAAGATGATCGTGAAAGTTGATCCTGAAGTTCACTCCGATAGACATCCCGGGAGTGAGCAGGACGTTGTTGGTCAAGATGTTGGTCAGAATAATTCAACTGTGACTACAGAGAGTGAGAAACCTGATGAAAATTCCGGAGATGACAGCCAACAGCCAAGTCAAGACAACAGCCAAGGTCAATAATGAAGAAGAGGACTGAGGATTTGAGTTTATGATTGCTGGCTAACTGGGTAATGACCATTATGGTCAGTTCGCTCGAGGCCAGCATTATTAGTGTATTATTATAAAAATTCATAATTATTTTGCTCAGATATAAATATGTGTATAATGTTAACGGTAACGTTTTTTGTTTAGCCGAGGTTTCTCTTTTAAACTTTGGTTATTATAGGTTAAATATTAAAATAAATTAGCGGATTATGAATTTGATGATCATAAACTTTTCGTTACATTTTTTTCATAATTTATTGAGAATTTTATTGAAATAAATTGTTTTATTTAAGGTTACGGTAATAAATTCTGAAATTTTGTAAAAGCTTTGCCTTTTATCTAATTAAAGTTTATTTGTTGAAAAATCACAAAAACATTAATTTTTAAAGATAACATAGATATTTTAAAAAATATTCTAGCGCTTCTTATAAGATCACACTGGAGACAGACCGATGGTACTATCGTATCGGTATGGACGGTCTCCTAAGTGACCATTCTTTTTAAACCAACTTAATATATTAGACTTTGACTACTCGTTAATATGATAATGATAATGTTAATGTTGATTTATGAAGCGCCCTGGCAAGCGACTGAGGCGCCCTCGAAACAAAATAAACATCATCTCATCTATCAGACGTTTAAAAACTCTCTATCGAAATAAGAAGTTTTTAATGACGACTTAAACCCTCCAAGATTTACGTAACCCAGAGCCATAGT